GTAAACAAAATAACGTTCGCAAAAAGCAACTGATTAAACTTATTTTTCTTAAAGGTTGAATAAACTTATTTTTCTTAAAGGTTATTTTTTATCGACAGACCAGCTTCACTGCTTCGTTTTTAATTATTTTATTTAGAAAAACGTCATATACAAATATTTACAGTGAAGCAAAATACAATTTAATTGTGAGCTTCGGTTACAAGTAATTGCTCACGTCAGACCGGTTAGACTTCTTTTTTCAGTCTGCTGCCTCAATCGTAGGAGGCAATGATTTGGCGAGATTCGTTGGCGTAAAATGCGCCAACAGCAACTGAGTGGTCTTTTGTGTGGGAACAGCACCAGTCTATGCACAATGACAAGGCCATCCAAACTATGTACAATGACCATCATAGGAAATATTTTATATTTAGTACACCTAAACGCCGCATGGGTAGAAATGCCGCACACGCTGAAAATTTAAGTTTTAAACACGTAAACGCTGCAGCGTTTCTTCCGGAAATTACGGTACTTAAAAATAAAATATCGAAAAAATATTGAATGATGTAGGAAGGAAATCTAAGATTTTCTTATTTATGCTCAGACTTTTTGATGATGTGAGATTTGAATGAGCTTCAGAGAATGATATAACATTAAGCATAACCATAAATTGCTTTAAAAAGCAAGATTTGTATTGCGACTGAATGCAATCATATCTATCCAGGATTTTGGAGAAGGTGCTGATGAAGTGTAAAATAAAATTTCACACACCTACCAGTTGCCTAGTTACATCTCTTGAGGTTGCTTTTTGTCTAAATATTTGTTAGTGTTATAATATTTATGCTGCTGCAGAGTTTTATTAAGACTGCAAGGGTTTGTTTTTGATGTAGAGGTCAGTGTATGGATAGGGAAGTTAGAGAAGCTTTCTATACCAGAAACATATTGTAGATGACTGTGAGATTTGAAAATGCTGAGAAATACACCATAGTGCATAAAATTAATGTCAACACAAAATGTGAAATATTTTTCCATTTCTGGAATTTTTGTATCTAAACACAGGACCTGTTTAGCAGATAAAGCAATAGACGCTTAATATGTGCACATAGTTAAATAAAAATTGTCAGCAACTGAAAAACATAACTTGTTATATATTTGTAATATAACTACTGATTGAATAAATGTAAAATATAATAATATTTTCTGTTTCTGTATTTTACAATTTTTTGTGCACTTCACCCTTTCCTATTATTTCTAAGTATATTTCTCTTTAAATGTTAGGAATGTCTTAAGCGGAGTTTGTCCAAAAATTTGGACGCTTGCCTTATGCTATGGCGTATTTTTATCCATACAGCTTGACAAGTGTTATTATCGCATGAAGAATAAGATTAATTTATCTTTCACCTGATCTCATTGTTACTCAGTTTTTAAAGGGCTGCAAGAAAGTAAAGCATAAAATCTTTGTTTTAAATTTATTTAACCTGCTATCATTTAAAAAGTTATCAACATTTGAAGCATTGCTGTTATATTATTATTACTGTTACTATGTTTCTAGTGCTATGTATTATTACATACATCAGTGCAGACTTGTTTAGTTTTTAACTGAAGCAATTTGTTAAAAGCATGAGATTCTTGAGAAATAAATTACTAATTCAGGGTTTTCCAAATCTTGAGAAGGCAAAAGTTTTGAGAAAACACAATTGTATATAAAGCAATTTGCCTTTTAATTTGAATTATTTAACATTCTAGAAATAGAGTTGATGAGAATTTGATCTTATTTAAAAATGTAACTGGTATTTAAACTTAAATGCCTAATAATTTATTCTTCACAGCCTTGTCAAAATCATGATTAATTATATAGAAGAATATCTGCTTAATTGGATATAAAATATGGCAATTTATTATGCATAAATGGGAGTTGTAAAGTTAGTTTATTGTAGTACGTGCTTGAATTTTCTGATTTCATACATTACGTGAAAAATTGTTAAGTGGCCGAAATCTTTACATTTTGCTGTTTGAACACTGCTATTAGATTTTAATATATGACTTTATAATAAATCCAGATTTTTCTAATAGCCATTATAAATGTGTTTAACATGTTTCTATAGAATCAAAAGAACAGAATTTGGGATATTTATTTTCTTGTGGAAAACATATGATGTCTTGAAATATGTTTGATTGCGGGAATAATTCAGAATTTTGTGTAATGTAATTTGACTTAAGCTAGAACTGAAACACATTAACCACTTGCGCTAAAAAGACATGCCACGCATGTCGAGATGCTTTTGTCTCAAACCGCATGCAACATGAACACCACATCGATAGGCATTTATCGCAAAAGTGAAAATAACGTGGTGCACATGTCGCCTAACAACGAGATTGTTTATTTCTCGAGTTACAGCTCTGGATTGCACTCGCAGATGCAAAGCGGCGTAAATGAGACACTTTACCGCTTGTTATATTGTAGTGCATGTCACCGCAACTGTGGAGTTTAGTTTAGTCGTAGCGCAAATGGTTAAATTGAAGTAAAGTGATAGGATCTTGAATATATTTAGATAGGATCTTGAATATATATTTAGATGTTGCCATGATTACTGGAGAAGCTAGAGGAGACAATAAGTTGCTTTGAGAGATCTGTTTTAAAGTAACAGAGTCTAATTTATCTTTGATATATGACTTAATTTAGGGTATAAAGACTGATAATACAGAAGAAAAGGAAATACACCTATAAATTAATCATTTTAATAAGTGTTATTTAATGCACAACTAACAAGGTGAAGCTGCAGCATAGTTAATACCGGACTGCTGTATTTTAAGTGTTTCCTTTTAAATCTCTCATATTTTTATTATCTCTCATCTTTGTTATTATTATTTTCTCTCATGTAATAATTATTCCAGTAAACTGCAGCTCCTGTTCAGCTGTTCAACTGCAGCACTTATTGAGCTGTCACGCATATTAAGCTGTTTGTTATACAGTTTCATGGACATCAACTCCTCTGCCCAAGAATTCCTAAATCTAATAGCAGTGACAAATAATATTCTGGAACTACTGAACAAATTTTCAATGTGGAGGCCCTTCTTCTTTCTTACAATTTTTAACATTGCATCTCCAAATGGTTTCATCGTTAGCATAAAATTTCATGTTGTGGCCATTTTTGCATACTCGTTTATTAGGTAAAAAACCTCTTTCTTGAAAAATGATATGGCATCTTCCTCATTACTTGGTAAATTAAAGAATGTTAATGTGATATTCACAAAAAAATGCAGTGGATGTATTTAAAATAAACAGTGTGAATTCAGAAACCTCATCAGAAAGGAATAATGTAAGAACAGGCTGCAAGAGCAAAAATGCAGCATGGTGCATTTTTGCTCTTGCAGCTAATAATATACGATTATGTGGCGAGGTATAAAAAACATGCACCCAAAGCTGATATATGATCGTTTTGTGAAGTGTCAGAACTCGTAGCCAGATTCTGGCAAGAAATCTTAGTTGATTGGCGATTCAATCTCGGGGGTCGCTATATCGAAGAAGTACCCAAATTTCTTTAGTTTAGTATATGACTTTGAACTTCAAAGTGAGACACTAAGCAAAAATATTATAAAGGGCAGGATGAATTTTGCCTAGAATCTTACATTTATTTTTTTGCAGTGTCATTTTTCCAATTTAATGCACTTGCCTTGTTTATTAAAATGCTTGTCATTGTAGATACTACTTTCTTCTGTACCATCAATATTTGTGTCTTAAATCAATGATTAAAGTGAAGTAGTGACTTACTTTTGATATACTAAATTGACTTCTATGCTAATTTTAAATGCAAGACTATTTTTAGCATTTTATAATTTATAGGATGTTTATTCTTTCCTGAGAACCATATAGTATTTCATGATGATACTAATGAATGAGAGGATTTTTTTGGGAGGGGAGTTGATATTTCATTTAATTTCAAGCATTATAGATTTCCCTAGCATGTTTTTAAGTAATATAATTGCTAAACTGATTGGTAGTTAATGGAAGTTTGAATGCTTTAGGTAATTGTTGATGAATAAATATATTTCAAGGTTGAGTTTTAGATTCGTAAGTGGGATATTTTATAGTATGTTCAGTTTCTTTCTTTTTTTCTTTTTTTTTTTTTTTTTCTCATTACATGTTATAGGCTTTGAAAATTTAATATGATGTTATATTATTATTTTTTTTTTAATCAAAACTTGTTTGATATAAAGCTTGTTTGCATGCTGTGTATATTTCATTATGATTTATATGTTACATGTTTACTCTTTCTAGAAATTGTCTGCTCCAATATCTACAGAAGTGTGAAACTTTTTACAATTGTTTATTAAGAATTTCTATCATTTGCCACTTATGTTGCATGTGTAGTAAATTTGTAAAAGTTTCTTTTCCCTGCTGCTTGCATGTGTCATCTGCATTATGCTATTATGATTTTTTCTTAATTTATTTTTTAAAGAAAGAAATGATATATTCCAACTTTCATCATTTGTTGTTATTGTTGCTGGATTTTTCTTTAGTTCTATATAATACACATGAAAAATATTTGCATAATTTTTGCTTTGTATTACTTTCTATTCTGCATCAAGATTAGTCGGAGATTTGCAACTATTTATGCTTAATCTAATATATAGTATTCCCTCGCTAACCTGATAATTAGTGCATTATCAAATTTTTTGTAGTTTATCAAAGATATTTTTTGGGGGGGGTTGGGGGGTTACATTCACGAAAGTTGCAGTGCAAAAAAACACAGTGAGAATTATTTGTTGTTTTACACAAATTGAATTTTTGATTTTTATTAACTATAGGTATTAATAGGAAACTACATATTGTAACACAAGCCTTTTAATAAAAATGATATTGCAAGATAATTACATTAATTGACAGAGAAATGTCTGTTGTACATACCTTTTCACATTAAAAAAAAAGTTTTAAGCTTAATGGCATTTCAGTATTATTATATAGTTATTTTCTTTCTAAGTATAATATGATTTGAAAAACCTAATAACATCTATTTCAACAGTCATTGCAGGAATCTAACTCAAATTTAGGTCTTGAGTGGTGAAAGTGCTACTTGTTGAAGAGTATGATTATTATGGTATCTATCGTGACTTGTCGATGAACTTTGTAAATCAAAATGGAGGTATGTGATGCAAGAATTGTAGTTAAAATTTTTTAGAATTTTCAAATACCTTATATTGCATTTAATTTTTTCATACCTTATTTTTTAAAAGGAATAAGTATCTAAGTTGACACAATTTGGCTGTTGTGTGCCTGTTATTTTTTTCCCTTCTATCTGATCTAAAGTAGTCCTGAAGTCTGGGACTCAAATGAGATTGGCATTATAAATGATGGAAGGATTTTGTTATGTTGCTGCTGTTCCCATTTCTGTTTGTACTGTTTCTTGTTACTGATACTCTGCTAAAAATTTCAAACAAGATTCAAGGTGATGGCCATGCTACTGATACTCTGCAATGAGTAATGCTTTCTTCCAGTCACCAATACCCAGCATTTGGTTTTGTTTCTTGTGTAAACACACACACATATATAAATGTACATGCATGTGCACTCACATACACAACACACAAATTAATATAAAACTGACAAAAGCAAATTGCAAGAATGACTTTGAGAATTATTATCTTGTGCATTTGCTGTTAAAATTGACGTACATTACTTTAAAATGTTAAATTATTACCACGTATGCAAATTTTTTTGAACTAATAAATTACATGATTAAAATAAATGAAAATTAAAAATTAATATGTTGATTTTTTTCACTGCCAGACCTGAACATTGTCAGGAGGTAGGTAGATAATAACACCTATACAATCATCATACCTGGCCTATTAGATATGTTTCTGTTAATGTTAATCCCAAATTGGCTGAGGCTTTAAAATGTAATATTTACCATTTTTAAAAACCATTTTTATGTCTGAAAATTTAAAGACTCTATCCCTACATATATGGCCAGCCAGAGAAGCATATATACGATAGTATAAACTACATTCAAAATGAAAATTCAAAGCATCAGAAAATTTCGGTTGGGTCGTATGCATAAAAATGGCAAAGTGGGCAAAAGCAACACTTTTTACAGGAAAACTATAAACACAGTAAATATATAAGTGGTAAATGCAGTCATAAAATTAAGTATAAAAAATCTGGAATTCAATAAACATTAACACTTTCACTGCTGGTCATGTGAGGTTATGTTGATAGTTAATGCTGTGTGATAGAAATAGATTGTACCCATATGCCAACTTTATGAGAAATATGATTTAAAAGAGGTAACAAAAGATTATTATGTCTACCATATTGATTGCTAAGCCTTTAAGCATAGAATTTTATGACTGCACACCAGTGTGTGATTGGCACTAAAGGTAAATTTATTTTTGCAATGCTGCATGAACCCTGGCACAAGGTATTTAAAAATGAATCAAAATTAGTAACAATAATATGCATTATTTTTGAATGAAACTATGCCACAAACAAATATATATATATATATATATATTATAAATAAATATGTTATAAGACAGTTACAATGATATTCCTACAAACTAATTCCTGAATGTTATTCGTGTATGGTCTTTGCATGAAATGGAACTTTGTCTTCATTCCAAACTACATACATTGACAACTAGTTTCTAACCTTCACTCCATGCCAGTACTAGCACATATTTTCAAAACTTAATGCTGATCGGCAGCAAATTTGTTAATCAATATTTCAGTCTAATTACAAAAATCATATAGATCAATTAAAACTTACTCAAGCAGTAGGTACTTCTAAATGAATGTTGGAAAGAATGTGGATGGGAAAATTATCTGCACTCAGAGCAGCCTTTAATCTCGCCAAATAATATTAATGAAATAGTTGCTATAAAAACTTAAAGAAAAACTTTAAAAAATGGAATTCAGAATCTGGCAAAAATTAAGAAAAAGAAAAATAGAACAGACTAACAGCTCTTTGTGTTATTTTGGCTGCAGTGGCAACTTTCAGAAAATTTGAAATGTCCCCATTAGTCAAAGTTACAGCCATAATGGTAGAAATAAAAATACAAATTTACAGTAAATTACATATTTTACAAATTTTACGTACTAAAAGTAGTTTCTCACCCATTCACCTCATTCTTCCTTTTAAAAAGGGCTTCATTATGTTAAAAAAAAAATCGCAGTTCATAGATGATGCCAGCTTTTTTTCAGTTTTAATTATTTTTAAACATATTTATTAACTTGATTATTGGCGAATGTTTGTGAAAGCAATAGAATTTCTGGTATGTTGACTTCCCTTAAAATATCTTTTATACAAGCTAGTTGATTATAAATAGTATTTCCTATAACCTTTTTGGAGATGTACTGTTCCGATTAAGTAGCTTAATAGAATTAAAGTCGAAATCTCTTTTGTCAAGTAATGTGACTTCTTTTGGTAATTAAAAATGTTAAGATCCAGAAAATCGACAGCTGGTCAAACTGATCAATCTCAGTTGGTCTTCTTAAGTTTAAGACAGGAAGGCTGAATATTGCTAGATTCGATGAAGTTAAAATTGTTGAAAGAATGATATCATCAATATATTTATAGAAATCTCTACTTTTTAGTAAATAAGTAAAGGTTACATATTTGAGTAGAATAATTCATTCCCATAAAGATGCCATTAATTTGCAGAAAAGTAGTATCTCGGAACTAAATGTAATTGTGAAAAAGAGAGCAGTGGAGATATACCTTCCAGGTAATAGTATCTAAACTTTTACGTATCTGTAACATTGGTAATTCTAATAGACTGGTATAAATTTTTTTCATTGGCTGTGGTGTATAAAGGTTCCCAAAGTCATAGCAATTGATATTAAGTATATTGCTCTTTTACAATTTTAATCACATGATGGTTGTTATAAATGATGCAATTGAAGTGTTTTTCTTTGTTTACATTTTTTAAATTAAGTTTACAAATCTGCTTGAATTTAAGAGAAAAAAATGTAGTCATATCCCTCCTTATAGTTCCTCGTGCCATTAGGAATAAATCTGAAGTTGACTGAGCTCTTTTGGAACTTAAGCAGTGCATATAAGTTAGAAAATCTACTGAAATCAGAATTAAGAAATAATTTTAGTGTTCTGTGAAAAGCATGATGTTTATTATTAATAATTGCTCTTTTGTTACTTTTAGCAACACCATAAGTAACTGCTTGTTTAAGTTCGCTTTCATCAAGAGAGCTGTTACAAATGATGCTGAAATTATTACCGACTTTGTTTTTAGTTATAAAAAATTTAGCCCTAAGAGTAGAAATTTTTTTTGAGTTCTTGCAAGAGGTAAAAACTTTCAGAACTTTGCTGCTTAGACAGTGCTATTTTGCCATTGTTTAATATATGTTTCCATTCCATAAAGGTTTGAGTAGGTAGGCAAAGCTTGAAGCTGGTTCTTAAAATGAAGTCATCTGTATTATCTTCAACATTTTTAATGCATAATGACTTATTAACTGAGCCAACTAACTGGCGTAAATTTAGTACTCTGTTTCATAAGCTGCCTTAAAAAATAATCTTCCAACTGTATCAAAATTACCAGTAATAATGTGTTTATTGGGAGAATCCATACAAGAAGGGGGGGGAAAATACATCATTGCAGTATCAAGTTGCTTTTCAGTTCAGTTCCTGATGGTTGGAAAGCCAGTTACTTTTTTTTTTTTTTTTTTTTTTTTTGTAGTTGAAACAGACGTGAGTCCTGGAATCTGTTGTGGGAAAAGATATTGTGATGTTTTAAACCATTTTTTTTAATTTATTCTATCGAAGGCAAGATGTAGAAAGTTAATAAGAGAGAAATTCATGGTCATCATCTTTCTGTTACTTTGAAATTTAAGTATAATAAAATCTAATACAAAGTCTTTAATATCAGAAAAATTATTGAAAGTACCTATGAAGTACTATTGAAGTTGTGATAATGTAAATGTGTGCAGTAATGTGACACTTTTTAAAGTGAAATCTCAGAATTAAATAAATTAATGAACTTAAGTTGAAGTTTATTAACATTAACCACTAGTATTTTGTTTGTAGTCTTTTTGCCTCATCTAGTTCTTCTAAGAGCGTTTTTACTGAAAATATTAAATCTTCCATAAGTAGTATGATTAAAATATAAAGTACATTTATTAAGATAAGTGTGTTAAGTCCCTGTTTTTTAAAATGTGCAGATTTTCTGAAAAGCCTAATTTTTAGATTAGGAATAAAATCTAAAATTTTAATTGAAATATCAGTGAAACTGTGTGTTTTAAAATGTTCTATTTCTACTGTGGCCTGAGAAGTATGAGCTGATGCAAGCAATTCATTTTAATGCGAGATCTGTAGTTGTTTATTCTTGATTGTTTTTACAAGTGTCAATTAGATTTTTTCAGACTGCACCAAGTTGGATTAGCTGGTGGGGCATTATGTCTGTCTGTATGTTAAACAATTGGAATTTTTACATTCCTATATTTCAAATCAGCAAGATGATAAAAGTAAAAAGGGGGCTAACCTTAATTACAGTCAAGATTTATGAAGGAAAAACTTGAAACCTCAGTTTTGCCTGAAAGTAATAGATTAATTCAAAATCGGAAAGTCCTTGAATTATTAAAATAAGAGTAATAGATAATAATAAAAGAATATATTAAGTTGCTTACTCAGATACAAACTAATATAAAATTGAAAAAAGCAAATTGCAAGAATGACTTTCAAACCTAGAACCCTGTGCATTTGCTGCTAAGATTGACATAAATTACTTAAACATGTTAAGTTATAATCAAATAAGTATTTTTTTTTAAATAATAAATTGTAAACAAAAGTAATTATTGTTGAAATGAAATGAATTAGTAATTTTAGAGTGACATCTGAACGAACATTCTAAAAATTGAAATTGATGGTCAGTTACCTTATCTGACCCAGATTTCTTTCACTCGCATTACTTTCTTTTTTGTTACTTTCAACAATTTTAATCATATCCAGTCTAGCAGTATTTGCTTTTCGTATCTTAGTAACACTAACTCGGAGCAAAACCTGACTGTTAATTTTCTGAATCTTGGCATTTTTAATTATCAAGAAGTGAGATTAACTTTTATTCAATTAAGTTAATTAAATGGAGCAGTAACATCTCAAAAAGGCTGTAGAAAATACTATTTATAATCAAT